CACCACCATCTTCTGGAGTTTTGAAATATAACTTTCAGGATTTCTCTTGACTCTCACAGTTTTTCTCTGTTCCAGTTGTGGAGACTGCTAACTGTATCCCAGTATCCATTTTCTTTGTGTGCCTTTAAATAAAAGAACTTCCTGAATTTCTGATGAGAACATGGCCACCCAGCTAAGGACTGCATTGCCCTGCCTCCCTTGGAGCTAAGTACAAGCAGAAAGGATCTCTTTAACCAGATGCATCTTTGTCTGTAGAACTGGTAAAGGTGCAGAGGCAATCTTGGGCCCAGACTTGGCATCTGCGTGCTGGGGCAGGCAGAAGCTGCTGGTCAGCTGGAATTCTGAAGGATGCTGTGGAGCAGAGAAATCTACTCACCTTCAGCCACCCAAATCTAGCTCGTGAATCAGTGAAAGAAATACCCGTATCTCATTTGAGTCATTATTATTTTGAACTCCCTGTAATGTCAGCTTAGCCTATATCCAACCCCTGATGCTACCTCATTAGTTACATTTAGTCACATCAATATACTGGGCCTCCTCATTTCTCACAGAACTGTGCAACAGCTTCCCAAATGATCTCTGGCCTGTCTCCATATTCCCAAGGCATCTTTTAGATTTCATGCTGAAGGGATATATCTAAAACTCAAATCTACTTTGAAAAACTCCTGATACCATCATTTAAGATCCAAGCTTCTTCTTCATGGGGCTGGAGAGATGGCTCAGCGGTTCAGAGCACTGACTGTTCTTGCAGAGGACCCGGGTTTGTATTCCCAGCACCCACATGGCAGCTACGAACCATCCTTAACTGCAGTTCCAGGGGAATCTGAAGCCCTCTTCTGACCTCCGCGGCATTGCACGACATGGATGCACTCACATATATGCAGGCAATACACTCATACACATAAAATAAAAAAAATAAATTAAATATTTTAAAAAGATCCAAGCTTCTTAGCATGAGACATCAGATCTGTGTGATCAGCAAAGCTGTATCTACACACCACAAGCTTCTTAGCATGAGACATCAGATCTGTGTGATCAGCAAAGCTGTCTTACACACCACAAGCTTCTTAGCATGAGACATCAGATCTGTGTGATCAGCAAAGCTGTCTTACACACCACAAGCTCCTGCTCTTCAGCCTACATGCGGAAACCCTGGAGTTCTGTGGCCACAGACCACAATATTCTGCCTTCTATTTCTTTGCTTGGGTGTTTTCTCTACACCACTCTGTCCTTTGCCTGACTCGGTAATTCTTCCAACACACACACACACACACACACACACACACACACACACACACACTTCTGTTTTGAGACAGAATCTCACTATGTAGCCCTGGCTACCCTGAACCTTTTGATGTTAAACTAGGTTGACTTCTTGACCTCCTGAGTGCTGAGATGTGCCATTATGCCTAGTTCCCCCTCCTCTCTTAAGTCACAGATCAAGTGTCCCTTTGAGATGCCCTCTTTCTGGTCTATTCTTCCCTCTGGGCTGTTTGTGCACTCATAAATCCTTGCATTCCAAATGGACCCACCAAATGGATTATACTTATTTTGTTGCCTATTGGACTGAGCGGCTCTGAGAGCTTGAGAAACCAATTGTTACCATAGTCAGTCTAGGATTTCTCCATTCTCCAAGACAGAAGCCATGCGTGTCCACAGAACAGTTCTAACAGGAAGAGCAGAAGCTCATGAATTGGCCCAAGTTGTCATCACTGTTTGTCCCAGTGACACCCAGATCCCAGCTCATCTCCTCTTCTCCCAGGAGCCAGTCTACTCAACTTGGGCAGCTGATCAGAGAGGTTCTACAGCAACAACATTGATCCTGGGTGGTGGTGTTGTGTGGTCACTGTCAGGAGAGAAAGGTGCTGGAACAGAGGGGGAAACAGGATAGAGGAGGACACCCAACTTAGTCTCCGCAGCTCATGATGCTAGCCTGTGAGCTCACAGTTATCTTCACACAACAGTTAACAGGCTGGATTTGGCCCATGCAACATAGTTTTCTGGCTTCTATTCTAGGCAATCAACAAAAAATAAATAAATAAAATAAGGTCCTAAATTATTGTGTTTGCCAGTTTTCATGGTGTAAGTACTCCTGTCATGGCAATTTCAAGCTACTCACATGGTGTCATTTAGTGCCTGGTCCAGGAGATGATTATATGCTCTCTCTCCACCATAGAAGAGACATACCACAGAAGCATAGCAAATAGCAAAATGCAGTGAAATAATCAGAAGTGATGATTTGGCTGTATGATGTGTTTCCTTGTAAGTTGAAATAATTTAATATTTAATAAAGGCTGCTTAATAACCTGCTTGCAAAATTCCTGAAATTTTAGCAGTCAGCAGTCTTGACTGCCCACGCCCATCTTCTACACCAGCCCCAGAGAAGGGAAGAGAGAAAAGCCATGCACAGGGAAAGAACCCTGCAAATTAGCTCCTGCCACTTTCCCACTGAGGACTTCTTGTAGGCGGTCGTGTTCTTAGCCTAGGAAGAAGAGCATTTCTCCTCCTAGGAAATGCATGAGGAGGTCTCTTGAGCACCCCCTAGTGGTCACAGTGTAGGACCAATATAACCTGCATAGCCTGTGTTCCTTTATGCTTCTCTCCCTACTCAGTACAGTTGGCTATGCACTCTGTGTGCCAGGTACTCTACAGGACACTTTACACATCCTCTGGGCTAATCTTTACAACATGTTGTAAAGATGTTGCATGTTAAGGTTATTGTCCAAATTATATGGATTAAAAAAACTGAAACAGAAAGTTGTCCTTTAACCTCCACATGCACATACACATGCTGTGCCATGAGTGGGTCCACGCGTGTAAACACACATGTACACACTCATACTCATGCACAATAAAAAAAATGCTTGGGGGCTGGAGAGATGGCTCAGCGGTTAAGAGCACTGACTGCTCTTGTAGAGGGTCCGGGTTCAATTCCCAGCACCCACATGGCAGCTACAAACCGTCCTTAACACCAGTTCTGAGGGAATCCGAAGCCCTCTTCCAAACTCTGCGGTATTGCATGACATGGATGCACTCACATACATGCAGGCAATACACTCATACACATAAAATAAATAAAATATTAAAATGCTTATAAAAAGGAACGAGAGACAGAGCCAGGAAGTTTGTACATCAGACAGACATAGGATTAGAGTAAAAAGCAAGAGCAAAGTCAAGAGTCGGGATGGGGATGACTGGAGGTAAAGGTAGGGTAGGTGATGGGAGAGTCTAACGCTCATGCTCGTAGGGCTCAAGTGGGCTAGTCTTACTATTCAGTCAAGGAATGGAAGAAGAGAACCAACACCCAAAAGTTGTCCTCTGATCTCCACATGTACACATGGCAAGCACACATCTGCACTCTGTGTGCATGCCTGTACACACAGACACATTCACATGCTAATAGTAATAATAAATTAAAAAATTTTAATTTTAATAAAAAAGATTCAGTCAAAATAGACTTACGGTTTGGCCTTTTCTGATCCCCTCAGGGTAAGGTATGCTAGTCAGTTCAGGGTAAGGTATGCTGATATTAACAAACAACCCCCAAATCTCAGAAATATACTGCAGATAACCACAAGTTGACAGGGAGGTTGGGAAGGTATCATTGGGGAAGGCTGTACCCAGTCAATCACTCAAGGGCCTGGTAGATGGAGCAGGTCTATCTCAATGTTTGCCACTGCAGGTCCAGAGGGAAAGAGAGGGGTGGGTAGTCGATTAGATGCTCAGGTCTCAAGGAGCCTTCCTTCTAGGGAGGAGCTCTGGCTTCTTTGCAGAATTCACTGTCCAGAACAGAATTAGTTATTGGGCCCTGCATTTGTCAGACTTCTCTAGAGGAACAGAATCATTAGAACAAATATATACATATTCAAAGTGGATCCTTAGATTGGTTTACATGATACAGTCTGGATAGTCCAACAATGGCTGATTCACACTGGAGAGGCCAAGAAGCCAGGAGCTGCTCAGTCAGTAAGCCTGGATGAATCAGCAGTACCAATGTGGTGCTGAAGACCTGGCAGATCTTGGGAGCACCG